TGTACTGCGTTAGGCTAACCGAGACTTGTCATTTGCACTTATATATTGTTGCTCTTTTGTTAGTTTTGACTGCTTTTATTGTCCTCATTTGTAAGTCGCTTTGGATAAAAGCGTCTGCTACATGACTAAATGTAAATGTATCTCCTACATGAATGAACTCAAACTCCTTTCATGAACAGATCTTGTAGGCAGGACGTCTTTAGGAGATCAGAGGGATCTGGAGGCATGTAAACTGAGTCTTTACTCTCATGGTGTGCTGCAGTACTGCTCCTCTTCCCTGAAGTTCAGTCCAGCCAAGATTCACGGAGGCTATGCGGTTCTGACACAGATGGCAGACCTCCTCAGGTATTCCAATATAAATACAAGCTGAGTACTTTTGTCATTCGCAGTCTCTGAGTTTTAAAGCGTGTTTCTGTCCAACTAGCACATGCTGTGTGGGTCTGGGTGCTTTCAGAGACATGGAGGTGTTTAGTCATGAATTTCTGCCTTCTGTGGTGGAAAGCCTTCTTTTTCTTGCAGAACGTCTAATGAACAGAGCTTTGCGGGTAAGATATTACAGTCTCCTGAATCACAGAAAACATCAAGTAGCAAGGTTTGGGTTATTTATTGTACAGTCAGCTAGTTATTAATGCAAAATAAACCCTTTCAGAGTGATACAAATCTTAATCACCTGTCATTATTTCTAACTAGTTCTCTCATATCTGACTTTTGATAGTAATTGCTATATTTTGATTACAAGAGACAGCATACAATATACCCAGCTAACAGGGAACGTTCTCAGAACTTTGGCAAATGTTCTGGCAAGGTTCTCTGAAAGTTATGTTCTTCCAGTAGCCGTAATAGAATGTTCGTTCAAAGTTATCAAGTCTTGATTAATGTTGTTTACATTATACATCATTCATGGAACCTTGAATGTATGTCTAACATTAAAACGTACTATTTGTTTCAGAAGAAACTTTAACAAAATGATGTTTGAAAATAATAAACATTCCTTTCATGTTTTCACTAACATTCAACCAGAAAAAAAGTAATGGATGTTTTGAACTTTAAGAGCACATTCATAAATAATGGGAATGTTAGCAAAAAAGTTCTAAGAACAATTTTATTAGCTGAGTTGTAACCAACCAGATCATTTCATTTCTCTTTTTAACAGGACAAGGCACATAATGAGATAATTCGTTTATTTAGAAAAGTCTTTGATTCGATTGGCTGGCTCCTCAGGGCTCATACACATCTCATTCATCATGGTAAACAACTTCCTCTATAAATTTAGTAAATTAACCATCACAAGATGTGTGTTGTAGAGATGGATTTTAGCTTGAACTGAAATGAAACTGATGTTTTAGCATTCTCTTCTCAGTACTCGGATCTAAACATTATGAGAACATCCAAATCTGTGAAGATGATGACGTCTCCTTTGTTACTGTCACCATGTGGAACAATATCTTCAGGGCAAACGGGTACAACCTAGTCCATAATACAGTCTTTATCCATGTAACTGCTTCACATCCAAATACTCAAATACCTCTATCTCTCCCTATGTTTCTGCAGTGCTGTTGTAGCTGAGATGGGAAACAGGGCTCTGACTGACATCATGGATGATATTGTGTATAAAATGTCCAGTAGCTCGAATCCTGTGATTGGCAGAGCAGCTGTAAAGACCCTTGTTCTAATTATGGACCACAGCAGCTCAACCCATCAGCTCATTCACAGGCGTTACAGAGGTACAGTCGCACTCTTTAGATCTGAGAGCATCTTCAAGTTTTAGTTGCTGAGTGTTTAGACCAGTCGTCCAATGTTTGGTCCTGATTTGCAGGTTTGGCTGATTTGGCTGTGAAAGACTGGCGTGGTAAAGGCTTTGACTCTGTACTGGATCAGCTTATTGATCACTTGCGGTCAGATGTCCCATGGAGAGACACTAAGGTCAGTGGCCACCAGCTCAAAGTGTCTGCTAAATGTCTTAATGTAGACATATTTTACATTTGGTAGCATTTTATTTTTTCCTTTAAGTCCACTTATGATGATAGTTAAAGGAATAGTTCTCCCAAAAATGAAAATCTGCTTAAAATGTACTCATCTTCAGGCCATCCAAGATGTAGAGGAGTTTGTTTCTTCATCAGAACAGATATGAAGAAATCCAAAATAGCAATCAGTCGTGGTATTGAAGGTGGGAGAGAGCGCTGTACATTCACTCCCCCCACCTACAATCCCTGCCGGTATGAGACTCGAACCCGCAACCTTCTGTTTTATGAGTCCGACTCTCTAACCATTAGGCCACGACTTCCCCCTTTAATT